TACATTCCATGCAAGAGCGAAGCTTCCGTTTCTTGTTTTTGTTGGTGATGCCAGCTCCTTGCCATCTAGTAAGGGCTCTTGTCTGTCCTGATATTCCAGACTGCTTACCTCACCGGCCACACAAGCATGCAAACCCTTCAAGTCGCCCAGTCTCCTGCAGTACAGGAAGCGAATGTCCAGAGGACAAAACAGTGAGAGATCTTTCAGCGTATTTACGAGGTCATTTCTTGCACAGTGATGAATGCGAAGAACTCTCAACAGGGTTAACAGGAATTGCTCAACTCTTCTCTGCAGTACTGTCACACTAACATGTGGCCAGGGCTGCCCCTAACCCATTTGGTATTTTGGAGACATCTCTCACGCCAAAACACCCCCGGATTCCCTAGAAGCCCTCTTGTTTATTCATCAATAGCTACTGCTACCAAAAGGGCAAACACATCACAGCTGGGGGAGAGAAGGCAAAATATAAGGACAAAATATACATACTTTGAAAGAAACCGAGATCACAGAAATGATTACAAAGGAACAATAGAAAAGCAGTGCTGTGTAAGACCCCTTGTAGACACGCTACCGAAAATCCATACTGCCAATTTCTGAGCCCAGAGCCCTCAGTGTAAACAAAAAACCTAAGTAAAATCAATGGCTTCTGACAAGTCTCCCAACAGTAAAGACCTAAGAAACCCTTCCAAAGTCACTGTTAGATAACCTTGAATACTAAAATACATACTGGAGTTGGGGAATCTGTTTCTATCATATAATTGTATCTTTTCCTGTTACTTTTATTGGGTTTTCGTGATATTTAATAATCCAGAATGCCCAAGAACCAAATATCTCTTTCCTGTTCAGTCAGACATTAGATTAAATAATCTGTGAACAAAGTAAATTAAGATTACAAGGAAAATTCTTAGACATCAAGGAAATGCCCTGAAAGAAAATCTAACAAAGAACAAGACATACAAATGACATACAAAAGACATACGAATCAAAACTTCATCACTGGAGACCATCAAAACACGGGCTGACAACTCTCTGGCAAGGGCACTATAATAGCAAATGCTGTAGGAAAAGCAAATGGCTTAGAGGAAACCAGAAGCATTTTCCAACTGTAACCACCAGTGAATGAACCCATTCAGCTCCTGCATCCCCTGGACTGCTCACATCTGCACAGGGCTGTTCTTCCACCTAAGAAATACTGCTGAAAGGCGCCAGTCTTCCCAGTGCTAACTCGATTATATTCGAGTATATTCTTTGGAAAACACCATTAGGCTTTGTAAGTGGATTTTTATTTCATAGGCGTTAAATCATAAACTCATAAAAATATCTCCTTCACCCTTTTCATTAACGCAGATATACTTTGCCATTTTGGCTAACCGCAGAATATCAAAAGCTAAGAGCCTTAACAAAGCTACCAATGTATGAGACCGGGGCAGAGCTGATGCTCTATTGGGCAAATACTTTTAAGGTGCAGTCAAAAACCTCAAGAGTTAAGGCCAACAATACTGAAAATTTTGAATCTTGCAAGCAACCAAGAAGGAATCAAAAGCAAAAAAGTATGTTTCTCCAGCAATTCAGCTTCAGCAAAGTAACGCCTCAGCTGGCACTTCTGAATCTGGACACATCTCCGTGGAACAGCATGAAAGTTGATTTACAGTACTTGAGTACTTCCAGAGAAAATTCAGTGCTATTCATCCCTCATAGTAACACAAACATGTCCTGTATCATCTGTAAACCACTCTTTCTCTGCACACAGCAAATTTACATGCTTTTGGTTTTTTCCATAAGTGCTACAGGAAGCATTTGAATACACAATGCCTCCCATGATCAAGTAGTTTTTGAAAACTTCTACAAAAGTAAAAATGGAGTATGGACCCTTTGACCTCTTCTTAGTATACATCTGAACAAGGATGGTCTAACGATTAAAGTCTCTCACTGCCTAAAAATCGCTAGTAGTCTTAATTGAAAAAAAACAGAAGATACACACTTCCAAAAGTGAAAATACAACTGACACTGCTTTGTCCCCTTATTGGCCATTTCATCAGAGAGGCCAATGGACAACAACCATGAGAAAAGAAACATCACCATAGAAGGAAAAGTCTCCTAGACATTTATCTGTCTGTGTCATATCTGAGGTACAATGGCAGCACAATGGACTTGAGGCATGGGGGTAGAGAATGGGAATCAGGATGGATTTACATCATCATGCCCAAGAGACGTCCGTTCTGTCAGATTGAGAATTTCTGTCTCCATGCTCATCTACCAAGCAGAACATGTTGGACTTTCATTTGCATAAACCCTTTTTTGATATATTTCTTGCCATGTTCATAGCTTTAAATGCAAGAACAAATTTTACAGTAAAATGTCGCAGATGTGACAATTCGTAATATCAGTGAGATACAATCTTACCTGAAAACTGCTCCGATACATCTCATTTGTGATTAACAAAACCAGACTCCGAAAACAGTGTAAGATGAAATCCAATCCAGTCTAATTATCAGCGGAAATTTCATATGCTAACAGTCTCAACTAACCTATCTTTCAGAAGATTCTAATCTCAAAAATATGGTTATATATCGCCGCCTACCTCCAAAACTGCGCCACTATGTCTGCGTGCGCAAGCGCTGTGATGACTTTTTCAAGGTACACTGGACACTCACTATTAGAATCTGAATCTGTATGTTACTGATTCCATTTACCTCTATGTCACACTGTGCTGGGTCTCAGAATTTCATGCCTTTGGTGGAAGTGTTCTCCTGAACTTGGAATATTGTGACTACACCATCTGATAACCAGCATCTGTCATGAATTATTAATTATGATCAATAATTCAAGCTTTGCATATAGTTGTAAAACAGTTAACTCCGTAAGAAGACAACAGAAAAACAGAATAGTTAATTTTAACAAGCCTTATTGAAAGATAAATTGCCAGCCACTTCAAGTCTTTTTAATTTCTTTCGGATTGTTTGAGACAAAGCATAACATCAAGGAGTAGTGCCAAACAGACGTCTTGCATTCTATATGGAGACTGCACTAAATTCACAAAGTTAGGGTTGATCACAGAAGGCAGGAAAGAAATGAAATCTTGGAGAAAAGGGAATGGAAACTACTACACCTATGTAAAACTGTCATTAAAAATGTTAAGGAAGAAAAGAACAAGCCTACTTCAGTGCTGCAGTGAAAACATGCCACTGCCAAGGGCCAAAAGGCAGTGCCACCACCAGAAAGGATCAAAACTTCCTTACTTTGACTTACTGGATAGCCATGATATAACTGACAGGGGAATCTAACTCTGATTCGGTAAAAGCAAAACCTGAAATACCTTGATGACAGACATGAAAAAACCCATGAGGCAAAACCCCCCAAACCTCTAAACAGTAACTAGCAACCACGCATTTCACAACATCGCAAGACAAGTACAAAGGTTCCCAATAATTATTTTCATTTATTTCTTCCTTCTAACATACGTGGAGATTTTATAGATAAGGCATACATATGAACTACAGTCTATAACTGTTTACAGTAATTTCATCCTCAGCTCTGTATCTTACATAGCTCCCTCTCCTTTTGGCCCATGTCACCTGGCTCATTAGGGCTGCCCGCCATTGTTCAGCTCCCAGCCGAACCGCAGCTAAGCAGCTCTTGAATTAGCTGTAGAAATGGTGGTACTTCAATATCAGAGCTCAGCATAGCAACCAGACGGACTAAATAAATAAATAATGAAGCATGGTGTTCCAACAGATAATATAAATACACTTTCAGCAAATTGCTCGGGTCCAAAGGTCAGTCAACTTGTTTGCTCTGTCTCCAAGAATTTGTAAATCTCAACATGATGTTTAAACACAAGCATATACAAACATCAAAGTTCAATGCTGACAAATTTTACACCTGAAAGCTGTATGCCAGAATTGCTCTATACCACACACAGAAAACTGTAATGCATGTGTAAGGAAGTGACAAAACACTATCTCAAACCAAATGCCAATTTTTCTTTAAATATACTCTCATACTGTTTTTTTCTTCTTCTTTATTCTCTCTTTGCTCTCATTCATCCTCTCTCACATGGAGCAGTATTTATGCAGCTGTCTAATTTCACGATTCCTCCCTTACATTACCCATAAAGGGGCAGACTGAAACTTTACATCTCAAGCCTTGCTTCAGGCTGTCTTTTCTGTATCCCTGACTGATTCACACACACCTGCACTTAGGAAAAGCCAAAGTTTCAAGGTAAGCCACCAGCTCCTGAGCTAGAGAATGGACCCATCAGCTACACTGGCACTTCCAGGCTGTTGTGCAGCCAGACCAACCTCTCCGCCTCTCTCCCTTTCCCTCTTTCCTAAAGGAAACGCGCACACAGTCTCACAGCTCCTACTCCTGTTGTATTTTTCTTCCTTGCTGGGGTCGCATTCATCTTACCCTTGAACAGCTCTGGGCTGGCACAGAGCCAAACACACGGGACTCCGGCAAGCACAGGCGATTGGTTTTGCACATGGGGAAGCACCGGGTGAGACTGAACTCATCTCCCCACTTTCCCGAGAGAATGCGTTATGGGGACCGAGAGCCAGAGCCCTCCCGCACGCACCGCTTGCCCCTTCCCCCGTCCCCTGCGGGGTGACACGCGTGGCAGCGGCAGCCTGGCTGTGCCCGAGGGGAGCTGAAGACGGGCTCGGTCTGC